CGTAGGCACACCATGAAATATCATGAAATGAAGAGGCAATTTGAGAAAGCGCATGACATAAAGCAGCAACGCTTTCCATCACTTTCCTGTCGGTTTCTGCATTCCTGCCTGCGCTCCAGCTTTCTCTGGCCATGCCCACGGCCCAGCCTCATTTTTCCGCTGAAGACACTAAGGAGGTTATCTATAAAGAGTTGATGCAGCTCCAAGAGGAAAATGACGTAGGGGTTCTCGACGCGGCGGAGAGGCTTCGAGACAAGCTTTTGGAAGCTTCCCGGGCATCAGTTGCCAAAGACCAAAATGGCAAGGCTAGCAAGAGAAAGTCTCGCTCGTCTGGGAAGCCTGGCAAGCCTGGCAAGTCGGGTTGGGCAACAAGGAAGGGGAAGACAGAAGACAACAAACCAGAAGCCAGAAAAGACGCCTGCTGATGCCCATGCCGAGCTATCCAAGAATGTGAAGCTGAAGGTTACTTAGGATTGTCCAAGGCCAAGGAAAGCTGCCAGAGGCTTCATGCAAGGATATGCAAGGTGAAGATGCCTAGTGTTTGATGAAGACTGCATCCTTGGGGGCTGCTACAGCCCAGGGGGCTGCTACAGCTGGGGAAGCTGCTCCATGTACGGTGGCATCCGGTGGCGCACAGTGATGCCAACATGGTTTCATACGGCATGATACTGGCCTGTAGGTTTGTAGGGGTAGGCAATTTTATTAAAGCTAAGTTGCTTGCGCCTTGGCTACGTCTCCCACGCAGGGCTGTGGAGAATCGTGAAAGTATTTAAACATATACGATCTTTTCAATTAGCAGTGTTATATTTACATTGATCAAGGAATGCAGCAGATGCCTAGACTTGTGTCATCTTGTGTCCAAATGCTGTTTTTCATATACTGCTACATTGCACATGTTCTCGACACTTCGTTCATTTGAATTCAAGGGTTCCCGCCTGCAGGGGACGTAGACCAATAGCAATGGGGGATCGGCTCTTTTTGTCTCAGCACGTCGCAGCGCACCAGACCAATTGCAATGTGGGATCCGCTCAATATAGCACAACGCAGCAGTTGTGGCTGTTTGGCAGCATGAGCATTTGTTGCTGCTGCGCCGCCGCTGCTGCTGCACCCCCGCAGAAGTTGCCCCAGCTGCTTGGCCTGTGTCTTGGGCTGGGGAAGGAATGCTGGGTATACTAAACCAATAGTATGGTAGGGGCGAGAAGCCAACAAAAGTGACAAATGCGAACCCCCGAAGTTCTCTGTTAACGATGACCCAACATTGGTGTCTAAACAAGTTTGCTTTGTCAAATATTTACATCAGGGGTCATGTCCATACAGGCACGCATGGTGCTGATTAAAATGAAGTTGCAAACTTAGGGCATCCGAGGTGGTGCCGGTCATGCCCACCACAACTAATTGCATACCAGATCATACCAGTGCGTATGTCCAACTCTTGTACGGCTTGAAATCCGATGGCGTGGATGGTTTGGGCAAGAAACTAATTGCACTATGATTGTCAAAACGAACGAACCCATGAACGATCCGTGTAATTGTTCTACTTTCGGAAACGCCCTGAAACTATAGCCGCCTCTAACAGGTCGCAGTGGCGATGTCAGTCAGCGGGTTTCCGGAGAGTCCTGGAAAAAGTGTGCATTGAGTGGTGCTGCTGGGAGAGCACAGCTTCATTCAACATTGTTTTTTAGCAATTTTGATGAGCCCGATTTAAAGGATGTACACGATGTTTCCTACTGGCGGGGTAAAAAACAATTATATAATATATAGATATGTGACATGATATAATCAGATTCAAAAAGAATTTCGTGTATAAAAAAAAGGCATTACACAAACGAATCAGCATCGAAAGTGTTTCAACCATGAGAACACTAGAATTTGGGGGGCTATTTTTTTGGATTTGATTTCCAAGCCATTGACAGAGCAAGCGGAAAAATGGAACGAGATGAGGGTTGGACCTGACCCCACCCCTCCCCTTAAGGGGGTGGTGATGATGGAACTGATGCTTGAATTGCCTGGTTTGACACGACAAGAAGGACTGGTAGTCCGAGGAGGTGCAACTTCCAAGGACTTTAAAGGTGTCGCCAAGGTACTTGTCAAACGATCACAATCCTGGACAGGACGTGCGCCTACATCTACATTGCATGGAAAGTCGAGTGGGAAGGGCCCCGGAAATTGGGAAGTACACATCTTCTTCTGCAAAGGGTTTGTATCCACCTTCAGCTTACACCGCCTACCCCGATGGGGAGGACGTTGATGAGAGCAACATTGGGATGAACATTGGCATGATGAACAAACTTGGAATGAGGATGAATCCTACGCTAGTCTTCTTGGAGGAATTGAAGATGAACCTCAAGCAACTGTGGTGAGGATGACTATGACTACTTCGATGATGTTGATGAGCACGAAGCAATGGCATTGAACGGTTTGATGGATGTCGAAGATGCAGACGAGAAGCAAGCTGGTGATGCGATTCAACTGCAATTGGCAGCTCATGCAGCTTTTGGCAAAGCCAAGGGCAAGGGCAAGTTTCGCCAAAAAGGCAAACCTGGCAAGGGCAAGTTGGTTTGCTCTCATATTACCTTGAATGGCTCTACAGCAATTCGCCGGGTGTGCAGATCTACACTGCAGGCGGAGACTTTTCCCTGCTGGTGACAAACTCAGAGGAGTGATCGCCGAGTTGAAGGGCCAGATGCGGAGCCGACAGAAGTGGGAAGAGGATTCAAGGATGTGCATACCACATCTTGCTTTCACAGATTGTCGAAGTCTTGCAGATCACCTGGCGGCCGAGATTCCGGCTCGCGTGCAAGACAAGCGGCTTGGCATTGAGCTGACCGCCATTCATGACAATTTGTGGCGTGACGGTCAGAAGACCTAGACTTCGATGAGGAACGGAGGAGACTCTATGGAATGGATTTCGACATCCGGTTGATTTCGGATTGTCTCACCAAGTCCATGAAGCCTGATTTCAAACGCTAGGACCCTAAGCTGATTAGCTCAGCAGCCCGATGCAAGAGAACAGCATTTTTTGGTATGGCCACATGTCACCTGTAGAACCGGTTGAGTGTCAATTTGACATCATGTCGCATTCTTTTGAAACCTGGGTTGGCATGCAAATGCTGTTGCCGTTTGGATCTTAGGGCCCTTGAGTCCTGCCGCTACTTGCCAAATTGGTGGGCTGCTGACGATTCCGTACCGAATTCACGCTTTTTTATTTATTTATTGATTTATTTAGTTATTTATTTATTGATTGATTGATTCATTTTTTATTCATTGATTTATTCATTTATTGATTGATTCATTTATTTATTCATTGATTTATTGATTGATACATTTATTTGTTATTTATTTGTTTATTTATTTTTATGTTTATTTATTTATTAAATTTTATTGATTTATTTTTTTATTCATTTATTTATTTTTACGTTTATTTATTTATTTAGTTATTATTTATTTATTTGTTATTTATTTTTATGTTTTTTAATTATTTATTTGTTTATTTGTTTTTTTGTTTCTTTTTTTTAAAATTATTTATGCATTTGTTTGTTTGTTCTTTAAATATATTTGTTCATTTATGTATGTATGTATGTATTTATTTAGTTATATATATGTATTAATCCATGTATCTATTTACTTAGGTATATATGTATGTATTTACTTATTTGTTTATTTATTTACTTATTTTTGTATTTAATGTATTCAATGTATTTATTTTTGAAAATTAACATATTTATATAACTACATTTTTTACATTTATTTATCTATTTATTCATTTATTGTTTGATTTATGTATCATCATTTCTTTAATCATTGTTTTCATTATTACACATTGTTGCACCATAGTTATACCATCAGTACACACCATAGCACATGCCAAAACGTCTCGAGGCATCTTGCCCTGACCTCTAGCCTCGGTGCGAGCCTGTGAGGTGCCTATCTATGTGATGCTGCAGTTGGATTGGCTTTCAGATGACGGCCAGTCTCTTCGCCATAAGGCGCCCCGGCGCCGGGGTCACCTTGAAGCACCGGATGCGGTCTTTTGGGTGAGAAATTGCCACGGGAATTTGAGACACAATTTGAAACTGAAGAATATGGTTGTCATGCCATGTCATGCCTCATAAAATGATTAAATACCGTAAACACCATGATTTGTTGAGTGTTTTTCAAGAGTCTCTCCGATCTTTGCTGGGTTTTGACCCACCTGAGATTGAAACTGGATCTTCAAAACCGGGCCTTGCATGGCCTTACACAGGCTTGTTGTCTGCATATTTTCGGAGCGATCTCACACCGCCCTCACCAGAAATGATGGTTGGCAATGGGAATCATCCCCAATATGGTCTTACATTGTTAAAACTATCCAGACCATACTGTATATATATATAATAATGATGATAATAATAGTAATAACAATAATAATGATGATAATAATGATTAATATAATGCAATGAGTAGTCACCTTCCAGCATCTTACAACATGTTCCTATTTGACCTGGAGTTTGCGAGGAGCAGTTGCATCGACAGCTTAGTGCAGCCAAGAGGGCTGGCATCAAGGGAGTTATGGTGCGGAAGCTCAAGCCCCTTGGGGGTCATCGATTGGGGCCATCGGTATCCATCGGTCCTTCATTGCAAGTGGATTTTGACAACATTTCTAGGGGAAATCCTGGGTTTTATATGGTTTTATATTGTTTTATTTGTACGATTTGTGGAAAGTATATGGGGGTCTGGTGAAGAAGTATGGAAGTCCAGTCTGGACTTTGTGATTCTGGCAAAAGGTCAATTGTCGGTCACATCAGTTCAGAAATTCTTCGACATCATTCTGGGTCCTTCCACCGGCTTCTTTCTCCCTGAGCTCTATCATGAAACCCTCCAAGAACTATGAGTTGGGTGTGATGACTTTCTGCCGTTGGATTTTTTTCAGTTCGACCATTTTCAGGGGATGAACTCAACCTTGATCCATGGCGTTGGCTCAGCCGGGAAGCCGAGCCGCCGAGCCGCGATGCCATGGCGCCATGACAGACGTAGGGCTGTGCTCGGAGAAGGAGCGATGGCTCAATGAGGTCCCCAAGGCACCTTGGTGGGGCGAAGCAGATGAATGGCAGTTGGCTGGAGGATTTTCTTGGGTTAAGAACCACAAGAATTAAATGGATAGACAGATAGATTCAGATAGATTTGTCTTAGGGCCGGGCAGGGTGACCTGACAGTGATGGAGAGAGATAGATAGACAAATAGAGCACACATATAAAAACTTTAATGGACAATTAGATCAATGCATATGCACATACTCACGCATATTGACATACTAGAGTCTGGAATCAAATATAAGTACTGTAAATCATATAGTTTCCGTATCATATCACATCACTTCATGCAATTTCATGTCTCATATGTGATGCATACACTATACACACATATGAATAATTATATATATATATCTGCACAAGCAACCCTTCTCCCCAATATTCCCTATATTATATCTCGATTGAAACCCTGGATTAGTATTGGATCCATGCACATGCATTTTGGGGTCCCTGCATGGTAGAATTTTTCAGGTTACATTGATGATATGCATATCCCCATTCCATGATGGTAAAACCACATCTTAAATTATATTGAAACCACATTTTGGGATGGTCGGTTTGATGGTTAAATCAGTTAAATCCTCAATTGTTCATGATGAAATCCCTAGTTTGATGGTTGAATAATGTCGAATCACGCGTCAAACTTGGGCAGTTCGCTGTCCGACAGGATCAAGCGGACGAGCTTTGGCCCCCGCCAGTGTGGCCTGGGCACTTCTGCCACTTGGATGCGATCGATTAAGATATCCGCACAATAATTACATATTGCTGCACACAGACACACACACACACACACATATATATATATATACATAATGTATACCATATGATTGTATATTATATTTTGTTTACTATTTTAGGTGGATACTATGACATACACACACATATATATATATATTATATATCTATATATATATGTATGTATGTATGTATGTATGTATGTATGTATGTATGTATGTATGTATGTATGTATGTATGTATGTATGTATGTATGTATGTATGTATGTATGTATGTATGTATGTATGTATGTATGTGTATACATGCGCGGAGATGAAGACAAAGGGAAACAAACCTTCGAAGATGCCAATGCAGATCTATTAGATAAATCTTGAGCAAGAGACATCTCTGGCTGGCAAAGCTCCCCTTGAGGGATTTCGAGGGAAAAACAAACATGTCATGAAACATGTCATGAAACCACATTTGTTTTGAAATATCAGTGAGTATCATCATATCGGTGAGTTAAATCTACACTTGTGGTGGTCAAAGTGAGCAACGCAGCGCATATTATATTTGATGACTTCATTCTGGAATGGTGAATATATACATCGATACTTTCTATCCCCACTGTTGCCAAATTGGCCGCCAAGTCTCCCCTATCGTGGGAAAACTCCATGGTTTTCCTCGAGGTCGGAGGTCCTTTCTCCAACTTCGAGATTCCTCTGGGCTCTCAGCCCAGCAGCCGCCCTACAGTTTTGCAGTGCGCTATGACCTGCGTCCGCTCTCCAAGCAGCCACTTAGATATCTTAGATCAACAGCTGTGGGAACATGAAGAACCAGGGGATTTAATGGGATTTAGGGATACGATGTCTTTTAGACAACACCACTTGGGCTTAAAAATGGGATAATTATGCCATTATGCCAACATATGCCAACAATTGGATCTTACAAGCGTAATTTGCAGTGTTTGGATGTGTTTGCACATATCACGATGAATTTTGGGTGGACACTGGAAGTTTCTTATGAAAACATGAGGTGAAATCCTGGAAAAACAACTATGTGTAGTCGCAACTGCACCATAGCACGTGCGTAGCAGCCTTTTTCTTTTTTGGCAAGTTTAACAGTTTAACCTCCTTCCCTCTCAGAACAAGCTAGTTACCATCCCAAAAGATGCTGGTTCTCCAGAGCCTTCCCACAACTGCAACTGATAACCGCTCAGACCGAGTTATTCCATGTTCCTCCATTGACCCTGCCCCCCCAGCGCCCCAGCCCTCCGAGGATGTCAGGCGTCTCGGCCTATTTGATGCTGATGGACGGGGAGTCGCTGCGGCGCATCGGCAAAGGCTCAGGGCTGGACCTGGTGGCCGCTGCCAAGTCGTGGATCGCGCGGCATGCGCTGTGTGCCCGGGAAGGGGCTGGGAAGGGGCTGGGAAGGGCTGGGCTGGAGGGGTTGGCCAACGGGCTTGCAATGGTGCTAGAATCTTTTCAGATGGAACATTTGACACCAAGTTGTGAAAGTCAGGCTCGCCTGATTCATTTGATGTTTGCTCCGGATGAACCCTGCGGTTGTGGAAGTTCGGGCCAGTCCATTTGAAGCAAAAAGTATAGCACTTTGGAGCCGGGGTCGCATCTGGACTTGATCGGAAAGATTGATTAAAACGGAATGGGTCATAGGTTCAAATTTTTTCCACCCCAAGCATTTCAAACGTGGGAGGTTTATATACTATTACTAATTCATTCCTTCCCCCAGTATTGCACCCCCCCGGCCCTGCAAAATGACTAGATCCAAGTCTCAACCAGGGTTTCTGGATTGGTAAATTTCACAATAGGGTACTCAGAGTAATTCAGAGATCAAAGGTGAGAAATTGCCCAAAGAAATCACCATACTCCAACGTGGCAGGATTTTCCCAGCTCCATGGCTGCGGCTAGGCCGCGGCCACGCCAACCTAAGGTGCCCCGCCACAGTTGTTGGCCCGGGACGCGGATGGGAAACTCACGGGGGAAGTGGTGGCCCAGCCGGATCCCCATCTGCCACCTGGCCATGGGAGGATGGGGAAGGGGGTTTGAAGGATGGGATCAATCAAGATCATACAGAAAAAAAACATGGAACAATGATGAAAGATGAGATTTAACTAGAGATGAACTGATTTGGCACAGCACAGCCAAGTGAACAGCGATCCAATTATTGGGATTTTTAAGTGGTTTCAAGGATCAATCCTTGGACTGGACATTGTGCCAATGTTCACACACTTGCTGAGGCTTTAGGCTAAAGTGTGGGCATGGTTGGCATGGTTATACAGTACGGGTTGGGATATATTTGGCACTTCAAGGCACCAAATTACCTAGTGTAGCAAGTGTGTTAAATACAGTCAAATCTCCATGCTTGTTTTTTGGTTCCAGATTTTGCCTGATCATGTGAATTCCAGATTATGGTTGATTAAGTCCATATTTCAGAGAGAGAGAGAGATAGAGATTGCATATCCCACTATATCCCACTATATTCCATTATATCCCCATATTCTGGTTGCTTATATCCTCACCACATTCCCATTTCACTAGATTTTTCCACATTTCCATTAGGCTTTTCCTGATTTTCAGTAGGTTTTTGCACATTTTCACTCTGTTTTTCCATGGTTTTCCACATCTTCACCAGCGTTTGAAATGTGGATCGCTGGAGGTATGGCAACGGTGAAGGCGTCCTGCTGATGTCCGTGGTGCTGACGGCGGATCTGAAAGACTGGAGGGATTGGCGGCCCGTTGGGGACCTGATGAGAAGCTTGGACTCATTTCATCAGATCGGGGTATACCCCGAGATTTGAACAACTGATTTTTTGCTGACCTTCTGAGCGACCTAGCCTTTATTTTCAGGATTTTTCAGGATTTTTCAGGTATCAGGGGTTTCCTAAGTCATGGTACCCCAATAGCTGGATGGTTAATGGAACACCCTGAGATGGCGATGAGTCAAACCCCCTACCCCCTAGTACCCATCCCCAGATGGCTGGGGCTGGGGAAATGATGAACCATTTCTTACCATTTCTTGGAGGAGATCCTCATTGTGGTTTAGGGGAAACATGCTCCGGAAAATGATTCTTGAGGTCAAAACGTAACTGCTTTTGGCTGTGGCTTTTCCCTTATCATTAAACCAAGCTTGGATTATCAACGAAATCTTTATCCGAGGTTACATGTCCCCAATTGCTGTAGTCTTTCAGATGGGGATATGATGGGGTATGCTAGCAAATGCTGGCAACCATAATATGGGAATACAATGGAATATAGTGGGATATTGATGGGTAATGTCTGAAAATTAGACTGTGATACATGGGCACAACCATCAACAAAATCGGGAAGTATGGTGATAAATGCGGGGTTGGTCAGTCGGTTAGCCATCAACGAAATCGGGCTCGAGTGGGAATATATTGGGAGACTATATGTTCAACATTGTTCAACCATGATTCTTTGGTCATGTGTAAATTGGATGGAAATCGGGGTATGCCGCGTATGCCCCAGCCACTTGCCACTTGTCCCAATTCGCTGGACAACGATGGAGTCAACATGTTTAACATGTTTAGTTAACAAAAAATTCACAGAACTTGCAAGTAGCATCTGCAGAGTGGGGACCCCTAGATAGCTAAGTTGGTGTATAACTCCAATAACTAAGGCTTATGGCAGAGATATCTGTAGTTCATGGGCTTAAGAAACCAACTTATAACATCTTGGGGGTCCACCTTGTGGTGTCGATCGACCCGTTCAAGGCCAACGGTGTCGCTGAAAGGAATCCATCTGGGGCAAATAAATGATCTAGGATAGTTCATGGCATCGGGAGCATAAGTAGGACAATGACTTAATGACCTTAGATCATTGATGGGATAATTAATGGGATAAATCATCCACAATGGGAATTATAAATCACCATCTATCCCATTCAAATGGTCCTATCTATCCCAAGTTGAAGTAGTCCATTGGAACAATTCATGCAGAGTAGTCCATGTGGCTGGGATTCCCACCATTCGAGGCTATCGCTTGGGAAGTCCTCCTGTGCAGTGTGGTCTCTGTGGAATGGCCGTGGCGCAACGAGACCTGCTGGCGCATCAGAAGGAATGTCTGGAGGTGCAGAATTGTTTCGCCATGGGTAGACTCACCTCGCTACGGGTCGAACATGGTCGAACTGTTGGGCCGAACGCGCAGATTTTGGATGGTTTTGACTTTTGAACGTATTTTTTGCGACACTGTTGAAAGATAGACCTCCGCCTCTGTCGGAGCCCTGAGCTGAGCTGAAGCTGTTTGAGTGATTGAGAGGGAAGTGACTGGGTCAATCCAAATGCACAGGTAAGTGATTGACAAAACGGTAATGAGTATATCGATATGATATTCACTTGTTTCGTTTTTTTGGTTGGGAAGGCTGCCAGAATCTCCCTGCAAAAGAGAAACCAGAAGATTTAACATGAAATCCCCAAACTAATGGGCTTGAGAATCAGGCTGAACAAACCCAAGCGAAATTCGAACTTTTGGATCTCACGTTCCTTGACCTTTAAGGGATCTACCAGTCGGACCTGCCGGACTTCGCCAGGTGATGATCCCTTGCCCTCGCTGTGGGAAGAGGGTGCTGATCCGGGAGCTCTCAGCACATCAGTGGCTGAGCCGAACATTTGGTAGCTTCAAACCTACTGTAAATGATAACATAATGATATTATAATGTTGGTAAACGATATTAAATTACATTCAAAGCTACCTAGTACTACACATTTGGCAAATGATATATATATATATATACATACATTAAATGATAATATAATACTACACGTAAACTATACATATGTGTAACAGACATGTGCACCAGATATGCACAACTGTACCAGGCTTATGTAGTGGGTACTCTGAATTAGTTGCACCGTCATTAATTTGTCTATATGTGATTATTGTATATGGAAATTGCATGCACATATGCGTACACACATACACATACACATACACATACATATACATATACATATACGTATACGTATACACATACATATATACATATATATACACACATATATACACATACATATACATATAAATATACATATACATATGATGTACATATACATATGCATATACATATGCATATACATATGCACATATATACATATACACATATACACACACATACACATATACAAATACACACATACAGTCATACATTCATAAATTCATACATACATACATTCATACATTACAGTATATACATTGCATTACATTTACATTACATTACATTACATTAATACATCAATACATCAATACATTAATACATTAATGCATTGGTACGTTAATACATTAATACATTAATGCATTAATACATTAATACATTAATGCATGAATACGTTAATACATTAATGCATGAATACGTTAATTAATACATTGGTACACTAATACACTAGTACATTAATACATACAGTTACATACGTCCATACATACAGACATACAGACATTCATACATTTATACATTCATACATTCATACATTCATACATTTATACATTCATACATTCATACATTCATATATACATTCATTCATTCATTTCATTTCATTACATGACATGACATTACATGACATTACATTACATCACACAGACACACACACACACATATATATATATAGATACACATAGATATACATGCCACGCGCACATATATACACACGTACACATATGTGTGTGATCTACTTCTACATTTGTATCTTGATTTGGGTGGCACCCTCGCCCTGGCAGCTCCAGGAAGGGCCGGGACTGCCTCAGTCAGCTGGTGATGTCAACCCAGACGGAGGACTTGGAAACCGAAGACGTGGGATCTCAGTGCGTGACCCCTGCCCTGCTGCCCGTGGCTGTCCAGACCAGTTATGCCTCGGACTCTCGGTGGAAGGATGATGTCTGTGATAAGTCAATATTAGTCATCAGATGTCATCAGATGTCATCAGTTTTATGGCTATTTCAAGCTCGTGCCAAAAAAAGAGCGGTTTGCCATATCCCCTTCTCATGGGCCAATCATTGGCCCGTGATATTCCTTTGGATCACTTTGGTGGTTGATGCTGATTCCATCTGATTCCATTGAATGTTGGCTGCTCACACTGTGCAAACTTCGATTCTATGCACCATTTCTGCTGGCCCCAGTATTTAGTAAGCTAGACGCCAGGCCATCTTTTCGATACTTGGATGATCCTTGAAATTCGTGCAGTGTTGCTATGGATTAAACCCCCTTCAACATTGGTACATTTCAATGCATTTCAGGGGTTATGATTCACTTACCAAGAAGCGATGACTATTTCCAGGATGATCCAGGCAACCGGCAAGACATGGGTATTTACAGTACCCATCTCCATTTTACTGACGGATTCTCCGTCCCAAAAACATGTGGGAAAGAGCGTGGGTTACAAGCCACATAAAAATCCCTGGGGCCAACCATAGTTACGCTACCAATGTTCCATTCCCAGACTAAGCTTCAAACTGATGAAATACCCTGCAGAAAACACCTGGAAAACTCCGATTATTTGATGGTCCAAATTATGGTTTCCCCTAGGTTTTCCCGTGAATTCCGTGGTTTTCCCTAGATTTTCCCATGAATTCCATGGTTTTCCCGGACTTTCCAATCCATTTTCCCATCCCAACAGCCTGGCCGTGCTTGCCCCGAGCATCCGCGCAGAAGAGGCGGTGCCAGCTCTGGTGCCCTCCCTGGCGATCCGCTGGCAGGCGCCACCCAGCCAGGCGCAGGGACTTGGAGAGTTTTGGTATATCATGGTAGATCTCTATGGAAATTCTTGGGGATATAATGGAAAATGTGGAAATTCACAGGAATTCATAGGGATGAATGGGGATTTTCATGGGGAAGCAACGCCAGAACGGCCAGAAGATGATTGTGGCCCCAAATGGAGCCACAAAACTGCTGATGTTTAGTACCATCCCTTTCGGGGCTTGGTGATTTTGACCCATATCCGATAATAGTAACCCTCAAAAAGATAGACAAGTTGGAAACCTGGGAAATTGGTTTCTGATACCTTTTTGAGGGTTACTATATATGAGCCATTGATAATAGAATAATGGAATATTCCATTTTGTTGGTGTTTTTGTTAAACATTAACATGGGATATTTAACCATCGGCACTCGGATTTTCCACGGGGATTCAATGGGAAATACTGTGGGTTTCTTTGAACATAGGGCACCTCTAATTCTAATAAAAAAAATGGTTTATCACCATTTTTCCTATTAATCTAATGGGGATAAGTTAATCTGGGGATTTATCCATCAATAGAGACTGACACATGGGGATGCAATATCATATGTCAACAATAATGGGCTAATGTAACCAACCATTTGGCAATGGGGCCAAGTGATGGCCGGGGAAATGGTGATGAACAAGTGGATTTGGGGGTTTTCTCCAAAAATTTTCAGACAAACCCATTATTTTCAATGTAAGAGAACATTTCATGGCCAAAATATGTGGGTCTTAAGCGAACGGTGCGAGTTTTCGTACTCGAACTGGCCACATGTGTTTTTTTTTCATCTGTGAGCGTCGTGATTTCAGCAGGAAAAACTAAGGACAGCAACAAGCTCACATCATAAAACACATTGCTTTGGAAGATTGATAAACATATGACTTTATAGGATACAGATACATGTATATAAAATTTCTCTGAAAGCCAACTTTTCAGGCATAGCCCAGACCCATTGCGTGGGGCTTGTCTTGGGTGACTCCCTCAACTTGAGGTGCGGCAGATGCTAACAGAATATCAGCTGACTGTGAGTGAATTCATGGGTGGCGACTGGGCGCAGGGACAGGATGCGGGTGACAGCAAGGACGGATCCTACTGGTACCACTGGTACTTGGTTCGTTGAAGAATGTTGTTCAACCCATAGGGTACACTACCATAGCTATGGAAACTCATCCATTTATGTATGGATTGCCTAGTTTAAATGGTTATTTTCCATAGCTATGTTTACTCCGGATGATTCCGGATGCTTACTCTGGGAGAGTGACACAATTGACGTTCCAAAACGGGCACTTGCAGCCAATGCACGGAGTTCACCCTCCGGCAATCAGTCACAGCTTGCTAGAAGATCTAGCACTGGTTCGATAATGTTCCCGAACGAAACCTCCATTTACTTTGGGGATTTTCCATTTTCCCTCCATCTATAGTGGACTTTCCATTAACTTTCCTTTATTTATAAAGACAATTTCCATTCAAACCTCAATTTATTGCGTATTTTCCAATCAAAACATCAATTTATAGTGTTTTTTTCCGCATGAACACCTCAATTTTTAGTGGATTTTCCCATTGAAACCTCAATTTATAGTGGATTTTTCCATGAAGACCTCAATTTATAGGGAATTTCTTCATGAACACCTCCATTGATAGTGGATTTTCCCATTCAAACCTCCATTGAGTTCGGGTTTTTTACAGCTATAAACCCCCATGATTTTCCATTAAAACCTCCGTCGCCGGGGTTTTCAAAGGGTTCTGCTTCTCAGGCGATGAGCGCTGGAAACACTTGCGTGTGGAGCTGCTGGACATTGAGCGCCTGGAGAAGCTATCAGGGTCCCGGGGCAAAGGGATGGCAGTGGAGGATGGAATGTCCACAAAAAACATGATGGTAGGACTTAGCGTTCTTTCAAGGATTCTCCGTTCCTTTTTGATGGATTTTTCTCATCTTTTTTCTGGACATGTCTGGATGTGTTGTTTTTTAGTTTTCCCGATGTTGTGTGTTTTTTTCCTGGTTATTCCCTGCTGTTTTTCATGGATGTTCATGTGTTCTTGATGGGTTTTTGATCGCAGTTCCTACCTTTTGAAGTTGATCGCGGTTCCTACTTTTTGGAGTTTGACCTGTTCCTACTTTTTGGAGGTGAACATTGAACTGGCTGAAACAATGTTCGCAAGAGATTGAAGCCCCAACGAAACAAACGCAGGTTGTCCAACGGCGAGCTGCGACACGAGCTCACCAACTTGCGGCCTGGGACCAAGTATCGCACCTTGGTCGGTTGAGTCAACTCTGAGACTTGTTGGTTGATGGGGGCTGATAGGTGGTGATAAATGATAAACAGAATTAGCGATCTATTGCATTTTTGTTGCTATCAAAGAATGTCCTACCCAATGATAAAATCTGAAGATCATAACTCCTCAACAATCCTTAACACATCAAACAAGTCGTACTGCTGGAAAGGGTGTTATTATGGGGTGTCTATTTTG